CCCAACCCACTTCATAAATTATCAAAACTTCAGTTAATTGAAAATGTTGTACTATATTAGTCAGTGGCAGATGAAAGTAAAAGTATTTTAAAGAATTTTATAAAAAATAAAGTATATAATTCCAGATATAGTGAAGTTGAATATATTTCTAACAATTTGACAAATAAATATTATTGTAAAACACATATCATAACCGAGCCAAAAAAAGAAGTAGAACAAAGATATCATATACCTCATCTAAATTAAAAATCTCCAAAAGTGTAAAAATCCTTATTAACAATGCTTACAATGTCGCAAGTAAAATTTTCATATTTACACGTAAAAATACTATTTAAATAATAAGCGCATCCTTAGCAAGATATAACCATATTATATAAAGTTTGACAGAATCAACTTCAATCGACTATATAATTGATATAGGTGACTGATCCTAAGAACAATTATGTTCAAATCATAGTATCGACTATAAATAATCGTGAATTCGGTTGCATCATTTCCATAGACAATGGCTGTAATAGGATGCAGCATATGCATCACTGTAATAAAGAATCCATCAGACGTAGTCACTAAATGTGTACGCGTATCGCAATCCAGCAGGGCGCGGCCAAACATGCTAATGTTCCTCATCAATCCACGGTTTGCAGAACTAGACGTCTGGCTCAGCGCCAAGCATACTGATATCAACTGCATTAGACAGACTATTACCTCACGTACAGTATTTAACAAGTGATATTCTAATAATAATTCGAATAGAGATTGGATCAATCGCACGTTGCATATTTTTTGGATAATACTTGGTGCACTCGTAGAACCTTTTCCTAGTGCCAATTCCATGATGCTTACAACCTTATATCAAGTAGTAGTGATATCCTTTTGCAATTGAAAATATATTATAATATTTATAAATATATGACAAGGATGAACAACTATAATTTAGTCAACCATTGGATTGCCTAACTGCCATTAGTTAAACTACTTATCATAAATTAGTCTAACTGCCATTAGTTAAACTACTTATCATAAACAAAAATCATCACGCCGGTTTATTTAATACCAAAATTCTGATTGCTATTCAAGAATAGACTAGTGGTGTGTATGACATAGTGCCTTAAGGCAAATTGCTGGAACTTCCGTAACGAAATGTTCGAGGAATATTAAATGTTTTCAAATAGATTATTATAAATAAATATTGTAACCTTGTCTAATATTTATAAGAATTATATAAACTGAATTGCAAAGTTGAAAATATTTGTTTAAAGTATATTAGAACTTAAGTCAGAATTACAAATAAAATCTGAATTATTTTCGAAATCCAACAAGAAAAATTTTTTGAAAAAAAAATTGTAAAAAAAAATTGAAACAATTTTTTTTTCAAAAGCAATTACTTTGTTAAAACAGCAGAAAGTTCTATGAATCATTCAAATCGGACGCTTAGTTCTCTCAAAAACTGCCATTTTTTGCACATTTAGCTCTGTTTCTCCGAAACCGCTGGACCTGCCTTTGCCAAAAACTAATCACCAATTCTCCCCGTTATTACGAATTGAATGTTGTTTGGATCATTTAAATCCGATGCTCCGATCTCTCAAAAACTCGATTTCTATTTTCTGCATTCTTTGCTCCGTATCTCCGAAAGGCTGGACCTGCCTTTGCCAAAAACTAATGAACACATCTCTCTATCAATAGGAATAGAACGTGAGCGAAAAATTGTATCCATACATACATACATACACACACATCCATTTTTGCTGATGTATGCCAAAATGTTCAGAAACCTTCAAAACGTGAAGAAATGTAAAAAATTTCAATTTCGATTTTTGGACGATTAGAATAACTTACTCTACGGGAGGTTAAATAAAACCTTTCTACTTTTTTATGCATTGTCAGAATAATTTTCACAAATCCAAAAAAATCTACTGGACCTAGTTTTATTTCAATTCATAAAATATAGAGATTTAGAAAAATATTAACAAATTGCATGACAGAACATTTAATATGTGTTATGGTTTGAAATATCAATTCTTATTCAAGGAAGAATTTCTTAGAACTTAGGACAACAATAAGCGATTATAGACAGAAATCTATTGAACCTTTTGAATTACGTTGTTCCTGTTAGGCCGACAACTTTTGTACTAGTGATTCTTAGCATGCTAAGTACTGAAACCATCAATCCTGCATAAAAAATTCAACCAAGCATTTAAACGGCACGTTAGCATACGAAAAAAAACGATATAAAGTACTACTTACTAGAAACATAGAAAATGAGTCTTTTTTAATCGTTTCCTTTATAGTAAATAGTTATGTGTCTGTGTTACGTACCAATGGCTGCTTAAATTATTATAAGAGAAATGAAAATATGAATAGATTTAGTGATAAATCGACTTTTTGTCATTTTACCAATTATCTCTCTACAACAAAATATATTAAAAAATATTCGATATTGGGTAGAAATTATTTATTTAAAAAAAATGTTTTTGTGATATATTAAGATATGCCGATATCATTAATCAAGTATCATTGTTATATTGTTTGAAGTTAATAACTATGGCTTTTCATAATTTCAATACGCAATCAATATACGATAAATATATAAATATGGCATAAAGAGTCTTGTTCTAATTCCAATTCTGAATTTCAATTAGAGCAAATACTTCAAAACGGATGGCCAAAAAGTTAATCTATATTTATTTAGCTAATAAACTAATATTATCGATAATTGTACTTTTTCTGTCATTCATCTTTAATTATCGCCGTATACATATAAATGTACATACGCATTTCTAGTTCGATGTATTTCTTTATCCCGTCTTCCTCGTGTTGATCCTATTTACAATAACTTTCCTCGTGATTTCTATAATTTCAATTCATTCGCAAGCATGAAAGTCATATTTCATTCTGCGTCGATTCGAGAGATTCATATGATAATTGAACTTGACCAATGATGTTCCCAGACAATAGAATAATGTGGAGAAAAGCAATATTTCATGATATATTGCGAAGTCATTCGCATTGATCTGTATGTTTCGATCGCTTTCTGTACGGTCCGTAGGCTATGTGGGTTGTGGGCCGCTAGCGCTTAACCACGCTATGCGTCGCAGAACGAATTCAGTAATAATAGGCGATCGCGAAATGCGTCCGAATTATAGATTGCATTCGAATAGATAACTTATGTAGGTGCAAGGCTGAAAGCTACTTTTTAATGAATAAATATAGATAACTGATGCAAAATATAGAGTAACTTAACATTTTTTTAAAATATTTTATTCAAGTTAAAACAAATAATTTATGTCATGATAACTGAGACATACTTTTAATACCTCATATGAAATGATAGAAATGTAACAAGAGGGCAAACGTTGTCTCGACTTTAGAGATAAATTGATAAACGCCAACATTTGAAGTATGGCTCTGCATCAGACGCATCAGAGACAAAGACTCTGAGGAAGGACGAAACGAGCTTTCTAGAAAGGCTCGAGATGTAGTGCTGGAGAAAATTGGGGAATCAAAAATGAACCGGTTAAATAACAGAGTATGGATTAAAATATAGTTACTGAAAATAATGTTCGGAAATTTCGGTTGGAAAAATAGTACCTTCTGCACGACTTTACAGAAGAAAAAATGCGTATAATAGACTATAAGTCGTCTATATGAATAAAGTAAATAAAGGGAATTGAATGCTAAGGTACGAGACACTGAAGTATGGGAAGAAAAAGGTACAAATTGAACGTTGTGAGACTATGGAATTGCCCTCGGACGGTGCACCAACAAAAATAGTAGTATCAAAAATATAGAGCATTTTATACATATATGTACTAAATTGATTTCACTATCAACCATTACTCAAAATGTATCAATTATATATCCATGTAAGTTAAAACTGTATCAACATAAATACATAATCTGTAATCTTTTCATTTCTATTCGCTGCGAGACAAATTATTTATTTTAAATAGTGTGAGTGGGGCTTGAAGGTCTGAGGGTAAAAAGGTGGACCACCGATATCTCAAAAACCAGTAAAGTTAAAAAAATTTTAACAACAATATTTAAAAGTAGAAGGCAAAAGATGCATAACCAGCCATCACCTTGATTCTTACAACGTTGCTATCGGGAGATCAACGGCAATGTTTGAAAATCCATAATCAAAGTATTTTCTTTCGTTGTTGGTTCTTTTGATTGTGAGCACTGTTTAGTTTACGAGACTTTATTAAAAATTTTCGGTCTACGTTATTTGTTTTTGTTGATTGTTTTATAAAATGTATTGTTAATTTTAAGTTAGATTCAACAGTTTTTATTACATAACCTCTATTAAAGCTTACACTTGAGTGGGATAAAAAGGACCAACTAAATCTGCACCCTGGCAAAGTGTAAACAATAAAAAATAGTAAATAAAAAAGAAAATTAAGTTAAAAGTTAATTTTATAAGAAATAAATTAAAAAAATAATTATTCCAACTCTGATGATAAAAAACTCCTAATAAAATACCAGATTAAGGTATTTAATTTTAATTTGCAATGTCATCTCTGTAAAAAATGCGCTTGAAATTTATATTCTGCATTAGTTGAATAATGGTAGCTTTTATTTTGTAAAGTCCCTTTAAAATTAAAATAAATCATTAAACCCCGTGACCATCGCAATTTTCTCCGCCTATGGGATAAAAAGGACCAGGTTACAAATTTTTGAAAAACAGCAAAAAACACACATTTCTACAATGATGAATTAGCTGAGATTTTTACAGAACATAGTCAGATACTTGTTTGTTTAATATGTGTTCTTTGTTGTGATAATTTGTTGGGTTTCCACAATATAATTGCTCAAATACGAATTCGACCTTTGTACCCCGCCCTACCCTATGAAACAGCTACAGATTCAAAAATATCACAGAATTTTTGCTACGCGTTTAATTACAATTATTCGCATTCAGATTGAAGTTCATTTTTAGAACCAATTTTTTTGCTAATAGAAGCATGTATTGAGACATATGACAATATATATTTCTAACTTACATGTTCGTCCACCGAGTAGCTCAACTCCCCATCGTCGTACAGAACAAACCATCGGCGTTGCCATCGCTGTAATAAAAAGAAAATGTTATAATATGTAGTATAAAACAATTAGTTTTAAAAATTAATACATTATGTTATATATACATTACTATGGTCACAATTGATCGTTATGCAAAACAGTAAAAAATTATCAGCTTCTCTAGAGTTAATTATGTTGCATTACATTGGTTCTAACAATAATAAATTGAAATTTTATTTGATGTATTAAGAAAGCAAAGACATAATTTGTTTCTAATTTAAAGGTGCAAGGTCTATTTTAAATGCATAAGAATGTACACACTTTACTATTGATATATGCATAATATAATATATTAATATACATTGATATATTACATCAATGCATTTTATAAATATATGCATAGATATTGATGTTAGTTGGTATATATGGCAAACTATATCTTGATCGACCCATAGCTGCTAATGGAATAGAATGAAATGAAGATAAATATTGTTAATCAGTTATCAGACCATGTTGAAATTTTTTATCAAAAAAAATGAAAGAGGAGGATATTGGCAACACTTGGTTTGAACAGGACCAAGCCACACAGCCGAAGTTTGCACCCTATTTTTTTCACAATCACAATATCGCAATATCACTAGTTTTTTATAGCATTTTCAAAAAAAAGCGTTACATTATAGTTGGGCGGATCCTATATATGTATCTTAACGAAATACATATTTCTGATTTTGATAGTGGATATATGTTACAGAAACTGTACTACAGAAACGAGCCTGCAAGTCTACCTGCGATAAATATCAAACTTCCATACGGTTCTCGTGGTCCATATAACGTTTAATCGCCGTACAACCCGATCAATCTAGCTTTCGAATATACTTACATGGCAACATATCTTTCCCCATCCATTCTTTCTATACGTGAGTTACATACGCAAAACTCTCAATATCCTCAATATTAATCTTTAGTTATGATATATGAGTTTGAACTAATATATTTTATAAAAATATAATAATTTCTAAATAAATTACAAAAATTTTATTATCGTTTCAATTATATTAGTTTACGCCATAATCTCATGATTATAAATCATAAATGTTGCTTTAATATTTGTAGATTTAATGTAAATATGTCAGTGTACAGGTTTTGTATGCGTTGAACCGCTTTCCATATGCAAAAACCGTCATTTACAGTTTATTAATCGCATTAATAGAGATCTGTCTCTCATACAACCATATAATTGCACAAAGTTAATTAACACAGCTGCTTTTTCATTATGAATATATAGTTTGCAACATATCAAATTGCAACTTCTAATCTAATCAAAATGTATAATTTGAATTCACGTATTGCACTATTTCAGTTCATTCGAATTGACTAATTGTAAGTCGATAAGAAACTACACAAAATTACCCCAGAATTTAATCTTTAGTGGGACACGTAGTGCGATGAAATTTAAAAAGTGCATAAATTGAGTATCAAAATAATATATAACTTTTTAATAACCCTCAATTGATTATATGATAAAACGTTCATATGAACAAAACACATATATTCGATATATCTTTTCTATTCAAACAACATTAGCTCGATAATATTCTGCAGCCACAGATATGTAATTAATATTTATTACATATAGTGTAAGTACAAACGAAAAGACATGGTGTATTGTTATTTCAGTTTCATTCATTTATTTAGTAATGTTTAACCAGTCTCAACCGTTTTAACCCATCCTTGGTTCATCGACTACTAGTAACCAGTGTTTTAATTAAGTAAGAACTATAATAATATATTTATTGAGAAAAAATGGAACCAATTACAAAAATGAATGTCCATATAGTACAAACAAAATGACATAGGATAAAAACATACTGAAATGCTAATTTTTAAAAAAGCAGTTCACAAATAAATCATTTCGTCCCCTTTGGGACATCAGCACATGAAGCATTGACCCAAAGGGTACAAATCATACATCGTAACCAACCTTTGCCGGGCTCAGAACGGGAAAAAATTTAAAGTCGATCACCTTTAACAAGTTTCAATTTTCTTTTTTCTTGGCCTAATAAACTACCCTGTAGTTCTTGCAAAATAGTACGTATGTCATTTTGTCCGAAAGTGATAAAAAATTAATAGACTATCAAAATTGCACCAAACGCCTTCTAATTGCAATAAAATTGATCGAAATCACTAGTACTAGCGTAAGTTCTTTGATTTTGAAACATGACAAAACCACACTTAAAATAAATTTTGAAAAGAATTTGACAAGAATGTGACAATGACGATCAGCATCTGACAGGATTGTGATTATAAATATCTTCATGTTATACAAATGTTGCTAAAACTAGCCAATTTTTAAACAAGGTCACTGTGTCATTTTGTCCATATATGTCATTTTGACCATATTTCTTCTACTACTATAATATAAAAACATAATATTCTACCCTTAAAGGTATTTTTTTTTTATTTTCAAGACATGTGTAAATCAACTGAATGATAAATGAAATAATATGTATTAAATTATTCAATTTTTAACGAGGAAGCTTAATGTTTACTATAATTTATAAGTACTTGAACTGAATTTAGCTTGAACAAATGCACTAACTTATCAGACATCTTCCAGTATTTTAGTACTGGAATATCAGAAAACTATATGGATAATAATTAAAAACAAGTGTATGTAACGTAACAACTAATTTACTATTAACCATCACAATATCAAAACGTCTCAATTTGTGTTAAGTAAAGAAGCTGCATTTTGTCACGCAAAATCCACCGCGCTGGTAAAACAGTTGCTTTCATTATAGAGTTATTATAATTACAGGCGTACATAACTGTAACGCATTTTCAGCGCGAATTAAACTGAATATGCAGTGTGCAGTGTACACCACCTTGCTCTGTTTTTATGCAGTCTATTATGATTTGATCTTATTGCTAACTAACAGTTATTCCCCATACCAAACATCGGGTACATGATCAAGTAGCCGTGTGTCAGTTTATACTATGGCGATTAGTCCACCGGGACCGTTCGCGATTGATGGCCGCTCTGGACTTAAGCACAAGAGGATGGAGATGCCCATCAATAAATAGTTCCCAGTTCAGTGTGTTAATGATAAAAATATGAACTCAAATCAGTGGCGGATTACTTACTATAGCACCGTCACAGATCATATTACAGGCGATATAAACTAGTGGTGCTCGGCATCGTGCCTTAAGGTTAATTGCTGAAACTTCCCGTAGCACAACTTAATTTTTTTAAAGCTTTGCTGTTTTTTGAAAACTTTGAAAAAACTTGATATTTGAGAATGAAGAAGTTTTTGTAACTGTTGGATTTTATTGAAATTTTTTTTTTTTTTCATATTTTGAATTTTATTGAAAATTTTGAACTTTATTTTCGAAGCAATCACATTGCATAGCTGTTTTAAACGCCGTAGTGTAAGGGTTAAACATTACAAATCTTGATAGAGAGCCTATAAAAATGCACAAAAAAATTGTACTTATTATTCTCTATAATTAAATCTCTATAACATATCTGATAATTTTATGTACATATGTCTAATAATCATTTTAAACCGCCAAATGGTTTATTTTTACTTTTTTCATTGTATTCCCTACTAGATCTGCCCAAGTCAAATGATTTTTGAATCATTCGAATTGGACGATCCATTCTTTCAAAAACTGAATTACCATTTTTTCACTTTGGTATATAAACATTTACATTTTTTATGTTTTGGCGATTACTATAACTTACCCTTACCCTTAATTTTGATTGCTCAGTGTCGACAACGAAATTTAAATTTTAGGCACTTTGACACATAAATATTTTATTCATATTACGTTGGAAAAAGTATGTGTGTGTATGTGTGCGTGTGTGTGTGTGTGTGTGAACAGATTTTTTGCCGTAAATCGACGTTTTCTCAATAATGGCTGGACCGATTTCAAAAATTTAAAAGCTATTCGATGTATCTCGATGAGGACTAGCGTTTATCAATTTTGCGCGACGATCAGCCAAGCCGTTTCTTTGTAAATAGCAGAAAAGTGAAAAAATTTTCGTTTACGTTTTAGCCCGCAGTTCTGAATCGATCTTGAAAATTCAAAAACCGTTCGAAATATATTGGTTGGGAATCGTGCTGATGAGTTGTTGGTAGAATTAGGCCGTTTTCTTGTAATAAAGTGTTAAAAAATTTTTTTCGACTATTTTTATTATTATTTTTTTGACGGTAGATACCATAGTCTTCTAGATCATACTAAAATATTACGACTCTACGACAATTATTTAACTTTAAAAATTCGTCAAAGTTTGCAAAATTGGTATCGTTTTTTTGGCATTTGTCAAAATTAGACCTTTCATCGACGTTTTCTCAAAAATGCCAGAACCGATTTCAGAAATTTAAAAGCCATTTGATGTATCTTGATGAGGACTATGGTTTGTCAGTTTTGTGCGACGATAAGCCAAGCCGTTTCTTTGTAATTTGAAAAAAGTGTTAAACTTTTCGTCCACTTTAAGGCTCATACTGCCGAATCGATTTTAAAAAATCAAAAACTGTTCGAAAGATATTAGTTGGGAATGATACTGATTAGTTTTAGTTGAAAATCTACCAAGCCGTTTTCTTGTAATTCGTTGTTGAAAAAAAAATTGAGCCGATTTTTATGAAACTTTTTTTGATGATATATATCATGGTCTTATACAACTTATTGGAATATTACAACCATACGACAAGTAGTTTAATTTTAAAAAATCATCAAAGTTTAAGAAAATAAGTAGTTTTTTGACGTTTGTTAAAATTAAAATTGGACGATTTTACTTGGTATAAAGATAGAGTACTTGGTTTTAATGAACATATCAAGCCATTAAAGTCCTATGAAAACTGGTTCAATTATAACAATTGTTGATTTCTGAAAATTTACTTTTAGAAAATACTCCGTGCCAGAGTGGTCGCTCGTTTTCAATTATGTGTAATAAATCCACTCGGAATACTTTAATCACTCATAAATTAATTTAGTTTTTATTGATTAAGTCGATTAATTACACATATCGGGAAGTTCATGTAAC